ATGACTGTATTTGTAGCTCTTATGTCCTCATCCTTGAGAGAAACCCTCCTGAACACCAGGCTCATTTACCCAGCTTGGACTCAATATCTGCAGCAGATGTCTTCAGGGCACTGGTCTTAGCAAGCTCTACTTTCCAGGTCCAAAACTGAGCTTCATGTGACAACTCATTAACCTGTTCTTCCTTCAGTCCTCCCCACTGTGGAGGTAAATAGCAGCTGTATCCTTGCATTTCCCCAGTCAAAAACTGGGAGTCATCTTTGACTTTATGTCTCCATGTCTGTCACGCAAATCCACCCTACAGACTGACCATGGCTCATGACTAGTTCTACCATCCTGGTCCAAGTCACTGCTTTCTATTGTCTGGTAAATTGTAATGGCTTTCTAATCAGTCTTCTAGCTTCCATCTACATCATCTTATATTTTATTTTTAAAGTAGCAGCCAGAAGGCATCTTTTATAATTTAAGGCAAATTTACTCAGAACTATTCAATGTCTTCTCATCTCATTGAATAAAATGAAGTATTTAATGTGCCACAAGACTCTCTATGTGTCTGGGAAATTTCTCTGAGATTCCTCATTGCTCATCTACAGCAACACTTGCTTTCTCATTGTTTCTCGTTCTCCTTCCTCTGGATTTTTGTTTCTCTTAATTACTCTGCATGGAATACTGTACCCAGATATTCACATGTGGTACTCTCTTACTTGATTCCAGAGTCTGCTAACCTGTCACCTCATCAGAGGTCTTCCTTATATAAAATATGGTAGCCCACAACATGTCCAGTTCCCTTAGTGTGTCCGAAGGTTTGTTGTCCTGTTGTCAACTGAATGGTTGGCTGTCATTTCAACTCTTTCTCTTTCTCTCTTTCACATATCTCCCAAAACTGTTTATATATATATATGTGTGTGTATATATAGATATAGAAATAGATATAGATATAGATATATAGATATATGTGTGTGTATGAAATTAAATATTTAGCCCCAAATTATCCAGAATGGCCTTTCTATTATCAGTAGTGCATTATTATAAAAACATATTAGTACTTTTTCTTCATAGTACTTTTACAATTTCTGTTTTTCTTTTAATACTTTAAAAATGTTGTTCCCTTATCTTCTGGCACTCATGATTTTCGATGAGAAGTCTGTGATCATTTTTAATTCTGTTTTTCTTTATTTATTGAGTCTTTTTTCCTTTGACTGCTTTTTAGAGTTTTTCTTTATCATTTTTTTTTGTTTGTGTGTGTGTGTGTTTAGCAATATGATTGTGATTTGCTCTGGCAATGTTTTCTTTATGTTTATTTTGCTTGGGGTTCATTGATTGTCTTGGATCTGTAAATTACAGTTTTTACAAATTTGAAAATGTCTCAACTATTACTTCTTCAAATATTTTTTTTCTCCCCATCTATCTGCATCTCTAAATTACATGTATGTTAGACTACTTGATATTTGTATAGGTCACTGGTACTCTGTTCACTTCTTTTTTTCAGTCTTTTTTTTTTTGTTTGTTTGTTTTTCCATTAATTTCTAGAGAGATTGGAAAGGAAGAAGGAGGGAGAAAGAGAGAGAGAGAAACATCAACATGACAGAAACACATTGATTGGTCACCTCCCACACACACCCTCACTGGGCCGGAACCTGCAACCAAGTATGAGCCCTTGGCTGGGAATCAAAACCAAAACCCTAACCACTGAACCAAGCTGGCCCATCTCTTTTTTCAGACCTTTTAATCTAAATACTTAATTTTGAATATTTCCCATTGTTATGATAATTTCTCTTGCAGTGTCTTATCTTCTATTAAATCCATCCAGCATATTTTCATTGAAGATATTATATTTTCTATTGCTAAGAGTTCAATTTAGATTTTCTTTTTAGATTTTCCATTTCTCTCTTCATCCTGCTTCTACCTTTTGAACATGTGAAGTAGTTTTCATTGGTCTTTCCAATATTTATCATTTCTGCATCTGCTTCTTTTTAATGATTTTTCTCTTGCTTATATGTCACATTTTCCTGTTTCTTCCAGGCCTGGTAATTTTTGAATAAGTGCAGAACATAAATTTGAAGTGTCATGGATACTAGATTTTATTGTATTTCTTTAGTTTTAGGCTTTATTGTTCTTAGGCTTTAAGGTAAATTCAGAGTGGCATTCAATTTAAAGTAATATAATTGAACTACTAAGGAAATGCCTTTTAAGGACTCTACCCAATGGCCTATGTGTTATAAGATCTTCCCACTCTAGCTTGTGGGAATGCACTCTTTCATGACTTGTGTGACCTCTGGGCATTATTCAGCTTATTGCTCTTTGACTTCCTTTTTCATCTTCCTTCTCTAGCCTCAGTAGTGTTTTCTCACACGTGCAGAGATCACTTCTTAGCCGTATGAGCCCACTGGGTAGCTCTCTGGCGCACTCTTGCTCCCTTTGTGAAACTTTGTCCTTTCTGATGTTCATTCCTGAAAATTCTAGTTTCTTTCACTTTCCTGAACTTTGATCCTCTGTCTTCTTAATGTAGTGAGACTGCCAGGTCTGTGGGAGGCTTTCTCCTCCTTATAGTGTGGCCTGGAAACTACCATGGGCAATAAGCGGAGTCAGTCACAGGGCTCACCTCTTTTCTTCCTTTCTTTTGGGAAGTTTTCATTTTACATTGTGAATCTTGCCCAGTGTTTGAGTGTAGGATAACTGACTCCTGATACTTCATCATGGGCACAAGTGGACGTTATAATTGGTAAGAAATTTGACAAAAATTTAGTTGTAAGAAATTCTGAACCTGTACACAAATTAGCGAAATTGCTTTTTCTTGGAACTGCTGCTGAATTTTAATTTGAATCAGTAAAGATGGGGTATATTATGTTTCAAAGACACTGATACTCTGTTGGAATAAATTACTTTTAGCATTTACAAGTAAATAGGGTTAAATGTGCATCATAAATATTCATGAAGAATGGATGTGGTATCCAAGTGGGTTATAACAACACTTGAGTGATCCAGATTTCATTTGAAATAAAATATGGGCAAGATGTTTCAAGAATACCAATGGGAAACAAATCTAATTGCCTGATAGGAATATCAGATCATTCATACTCATTCATTCACTCATTCAATCAACAAACATTGAGGATTCAACAACAAATAAGACATAGTTTCTGTTTTTTGTGAAGATTGTAGTCTATAAGAGGAAATACATACAAAAGATTAACTGCAATATGGTGGGATATAGTATGATTGTAGGATAAAGACGTTAGTTGATGGATGTGTCATATTCCACAGAAACACAGAGAAGGTTGAAAAGGACAGGAAATTGAATCTGCTTTGTAAAAGGCATCACCTTCCATCACCTATTCATTTATTCAGTAAACATTATTGGGCACCAGTAGTATGCTATGCACTGTGTGAAGGCCCAGCAATGTAATTCTTCCTCCAGGAGACAAATAACTAGTAGTTGCAATTTAGTGCCATAGATGTTCTGACTGAGATGTGCATAGCAAGCCACAGAAGTAGAGAGGAAGGGCACCTCAGCCCAGAGGCAAGTGATCAGGGACTGCCTCCCAAGGATATTGAGCCTTAGACAGGAAAAGAGCTTGCAAAAGAGAGCATCACCATTCAGGGACCATCATGTATACAGTGTAGCAAGAATGTAGGTTTCAAAGAGAAACTATTAGGAAACAGCAGACTTTTGAGAACTGGTTGTGTTCTCCTATAGCATTTGGAGGAAAATAGGAAGCATCTCTCTTTCTCTCTCATGCCGTGTGTGTGTGTGTGTGTGTGTGTGTGTGTGTGTGTGTGTGTGTAGAATGATAGATTTAAGATTTAGAAAGTTCACTCCAGTGCTAGAGTGTAGCGAAGTGAAACTGAAAGCAGAGAGACCAATCTGGAAGCTAAACTGGTTCAGTAATTATCTGATTCATGAAATAAATGAAGTACCACACTGAAGGAGAAGTGGAGGTACTGGAGACAAAGGGAGAAGAGAGGGACTGGGGAATTATTTAGAAGATACAGAAAATGGTCTCAGTGCCTAATTGTATATATATGGAGGGTGATGGAGAGGATGGAATCGATGATGACTTCCAGTTTTCCAACCTCTTGGGCTAATTGTATTCATTAAGGGCTATGACCTCTAAAAGGGTTTGAATATCCTTTGGAGAATTCAAGACAACCCACTGGAGTAAAAGAAAAATAAATGGAATTCCATTTCCATTGTACTGTTTGTTTGTTTCTATTTGTATGTGTCTTACAAAGTAGATGGTAAACTAATACAGTAGTATTTGTACATAATTTTGGGGGAACTTGAGGTGCCTATAGAACATTTAGGCAATAAATTTCAGTGGGTAATAAGGGTCTAGATCGACAAGACTGTCCAATAGAATTTTCTGTGATCATGAAAATGTTCTAAATGTGTACTGTCCAGTATAGTATCCAATAGCCTCTTATGGCTATTGATCCCTTGAAATATGGCTAGTGCACTGAGGAACTGAATTTTTTTTGTTTATTTAAATTTAAATAGCCACATGTGGCTAACGGTTATATTAATAATATTGGAAAGCACAGATCTAAGCTTAGAAAGAGAACCAGGCTTTCATTTATTAAGAGCTTGTATTGGCTAAGCTTGTTACATACATTTTTAAACAATTTCATCATCCCAACTACCTTACTGAGTAGACAGTTTTATACAGGCACATCTCAGGGATATTGTGAGTTCAGTGCCAGACCTCCCCAGTAATGTGAATCATAATCTTTTTTTTTTTCTTTTTCTTTTTCTGGTGGAGATCTTGCCTTCAATTGGTAAAACCATAACATCTGTGAAATGCAGTAAAGTGGAGCACAATAAAATGAGGCATCCTGTGAAAGCAAAGACTAAGGTCTTCCTTTATACTTTCAATAGTAAAAACTTATATTGCAAAGAAGAGCATATTTGCTCTGAAATATGTGTACTTTCTAGATATTCTCTTTGGTAGAGGATACTAATGCACTTTTCATAACCAAGTAACAATTTTATATTTTTCTTGCAGATGGTTTGCTATGTTAGAGATTGAAATGTGTATTATTTTATTATTTTATTATTATGACTGCAGTCTTCTGGACCCATTGCCAAAACAGGTGAGTATTTTCAGAATTTTGAATAGTATGACTTTTAAATTTTGATATGAACTTTCACCCCTGGGTTTTATTTTTGTTTATCTTTTTAAAAAATTCTATTGTTGAAAGTATTACAGATGTCCTCATTTTTCCCCCATTGAGCCCTTCTAGCCCAGACCTTCACCACACTATTGTCTGTGTCCATGGATTATGCAAATATATGCATACAAATTCTTTCGTTAATCTTTTCCTCCCCATCTACTTACCTTCCCTATGAGATTTATCAGTCTGGTCCATGCTTCTATGTCTCTGGATCTGTTTTGTTCATCAATTTATTTTGTCATCTTGGTTTTAATTAGTAGAGATGAGCTACTCATTCCCTCTCTTAACAGTGTCTAACATTGAACTAGACTAAGAAGGAAGATACTCCCTTCATTCCACATCTAATCTACCTGCTCCATCATCACAAGACCAGGACCCTTTAGCAGTATTTCTACCACTTAGTATTGGGACCTCTTCAATGAGTATACCAAAGTTAATCTCTTTTCCAGGGTTAGATAAACATGGCCTTGATATTGGGCTTGTTTCCCTAGAAAGATATGGCTGTGGGTCCAAAATGAACCATCAGCTACAATATTGTTGTAGCCCTTGATCCATTTGAAAAGAATGGCATGGAAGAAAACTAATCCAGTGTAAAAACAGTGGACAAAAGTGAAAAGGCCTTGACCTTTCCAGCCTCTGACCTTTGAATGTTCCCATCATTTTCTATAGTTCTGTTTCCTAGACCAATAGCTCTCAAACTGGTGGGAGCATCAGAATCACCTGGGGGCTTTGTTAGAACACAGAATACTGGCCCCACCCTTAGACTTTCTGGTCTGTTGTATCTGGGGAGAAGTCCAAGAATTTGCATATGTAACGAGTCCTAATCCTGCTGATGATGATGCTCTGGATTCCACACTTTGAGGACCATTGTCCAAGGGGAAATGCAATTTAATTCCAAATTTTTGGAAGTCATTTTGAAAATTCTGGATAAAAGGTGCTATTTAAACTAAAAGTGAAATTAAAAAACTAAGCATTGCACTCATAGGGCTATTCACATAGCATCTTGTGTTTTGGTTTAAGCTTGATATAATGAGGCTAATCTATGGAAGGATAAATAAAACCCTTGGGTGACATTTCAATAGAAATTATGTAAGTGCATACGTGACACAGACAATATTGTATTACTCACAAAAGTGCACCTTTCAGCACTTTCCCCTAATTTCTTTTGTGCTTCTATTTTGAGAACAAGTAACTATCAGTCATGAGGAGCTTTTAGAATCCTCCAAGGAAACAGGAGTCAAATACTCTTCACACAGATTCTCAGCTGAAGACAGGGTTGTTTGTTTGTTTGTTTGTTTTAGCAAAATGAAGATCAGGGCCAGGCTTTACAGGCATCAAATCCTGGTCCCTGGCCCCTGGTCCCCAAGTTAGATGTCAAATTTTTACCGGGGATGTCAACTATTTCCCCAGCAGCAAGACACAGAAGCTCCTTTTTAGATCAAAACGATAGCCTTTGTCAGAGACACATTACCCCAATCAGTCATTGTGACCAGATCCTCAGGCAAGATATTCCCAGCACTTCCCTCCTAGCTAAAAATTCTGTTACTAGTTGTACTTATTATATTATTTTACATACATCCTAGTTCTGTGTGATACGACTAAGAACTTTTTTTTAAAGACGTGCTATCTCAGTTTGTCAAAAGTACAGGGCTAAGTAAATTCTCATGATCTCAAAGGGCATTCTATTTCATAAATTCTTATTCTAGAAAGAGAAAGATCAATGGAAATTATGTAATTATTGGGCCTGTGTAACTAAGTTGTAAAATGAGGTGATCAAAAACCGTACGAAATGACCTTCAAATGTCCATGTTCTTGTAGGATATGGGAGGGGACGGTTGCCAGGGCATGTTCTGAACATTTTGTAACATGCAGAGAGACTACCGGATTTGAAAAGGAATATGCTTGTCATAATAGCAAAAATCAAATGCTAGAAACCCCAATTTAATTTTGCAACAGCCCATTGTTTTATTTTACTTCAGAAGATCTTAAGAAATTCATTGAATTTCCATTTTCTCCCATTAAAAACCAAACAATAAGGAAACACAAAGTTCTCCAGAGTCCATGGTTGGATAGCAAAAGCAAGCACATTTGTATTAACACAGTGGGGTTGGTTTTGTTTGCTCGGTTGATTTTTATTCTCTTATACATTTGGGCAGAGTAGGTGGCATAAAACCTCTGGATTCCCATTCTAGAAAAACCCACTCCTCTTCATACACCCAGAATTGTGGCTGCAATTCCACAGGATCCACAGAAACCCTGCACTCATCCTACCAACTCCTCTGAGAGGCTCCTGGCTAAGGAGCCCATTCCCGGCCATGTTGCACTCACACTTGATGGTAGACTGATGACTTAAATTGGATCCATCTCCTCCTTCCTCACTTCTCATCTCCCCCTCAACCCTCACGGTTGGCAGAATAGATAGCTTTTCTTTTTCAAGCTCCCAAGCCTCAGCAACCGCTGTATTATTTGCAATAAACTGCCCACCTTTCATCTCCATTCACATTTATTCCTTGTTCATAACTAGAGAGAAAGAAATCAGAACATTTGGAACCCACAAAATATCCTTCTGGAAGTTAGGACCTTGGGTATACTGTAATAGTGATTCATTCATACCACCAACACCTCATTTGCTTTTTATTTTATTTTTAAGATTTTATACTAATTTTTAGAGGGAAAGGAAGGAAGAAAGAAAGAGAGAGGAACATCAGTAGGAGAATGAAATATGGATCCACTGCCTCCTGCACACTCCCTACCGAAATCCGGGCATGTGCCCTGACCAGGAATCGACATGGCAACCTTTAGTTGCACAGGGTGACACCCAACCAACGAGTTATACCTGCTCAGTTGGTTAGATGTCATCCTTGCTTTTTAAACTTCTATTACATGGCATAGAGGTCTCACCCAGAGATTGTAAATAAGGTGTCCCAGTTAGGGGACAGAAATGTAGAGTCTTGTTTGTGGTATCCTGTGTAGCCAGACAAAGTGAAGGGTGGGTAGCTGATGAGGGTGGCCATTAGAAGAAGGGATTGCTTTCTTTTCTGTCCCTTGAATGGGAGGCTCAAATTGATAAGACTCATCACATAAACACTTTCAATCTTCTAAATGTAAATTCTGTATCTTTTAGGGATAATTATAACGGAATAAACTGTCGTTCTAAAACTGTTGGTTTTGTCTATCTCTTGATGTCCACATTTCTTCTGCATTTCTGCTCTTAGAGTTCCCTCCATTTGGTGGGTGTTCAGCAGCCAGAAGGACAATGCCGAATTGAATATAGACAGAGAAAGTGACATCTTCTGGAGTCACGGAGGACCGGGCCTTCTGGAGGGTGACTGCCCTCACCCACGGGCCTGGCAGCACCGAGACCTGAGCTCAACTAAAACGTGCTGCTGAGCCTTTGCTTTAGTATTTAGTTCAAGAAAAATGTCCAAATGGTGCCTGTGTTTGCGACCTCAAGAGTAGACCAAGAATCTGACATCACTCACTGATATGAAAACCTGAATATGTGATTTACAGAAAATGTTTAAATGATCAAGAAGAAGCGGCATTTCTTAAGAAGTTGGAATTTGGTTTATGTAAAACTATATTAGGACCTCAAATAATAATAATGCCATTTGAATGAAAATCTGAATACATTAATTCACCATGAAGGCAACATACTTAAATTTCTGTGTTGAGAAAGGCTAGCATAAAAAAACATTAAATAATGATTTCTGGAAATGTGTATTTTTATTTTTATTTTTTACATATATTTTTATTGATTTTTTACAGAAAGGAAGGGAGAGGGAGAGAGAATTAGAAACATTGATGAGAGAGAAAATAGATTAGCTGCCTCCTGCACGCCCCCTACTGGGGATGTGCCCGCAACCAAGGTACATGCCCTGACCAGAATGGAACCTGGGACCCTTCAGTCCGTAGGCCGACACTCTTTCCACTGAACCAAACTGATTAGGGCTATTTTTTCTTAATATGATTCTTAACTAGCAACTGGAATTATCAAGCTCTATCACTATAATTCTTTATTGTGAACATGGCTGATGCTAAAAGTATGAATAGCCCAGCCAGTGTGGCTCAGTTTAGCATCATCCCGTGAACCAGGAGGATCACTGGTTCAATTCCCTATTAGGGCACATGCCTGAGTTGCAGGCTTGATCCTTGATAGGGGTGTATAGGAAGCAACTGATCAATGTTTCTCTTTCATCAATGTTTCTATCTCTCTCTTCTCTTCTCTCTAAAGTCAATAAAAACATATTGTTTAAAAAGTAAAAATAAAATGAAGATCTTCCCAATCTTCACAGGTTTCTAAGACCTGTGAAGATTGGGATCAAGTCTTAACACTCATTTCTACACTCAACTACATCTGGGACAGCATCTTCCCTAAAAGACATATTTAATAAATGTGTGTAGATTGATATATTCATTTGTATGTATTTCAATTAAGGTGAAAGCACTCTTGACTCAATGTGTCTGTAATCACAGTTTAAGATACTATTTTTGCTAATGTATAGAAACACAAACATAATGATGTGTCAAGGCAGATAACAACATTTAGCTCCATTATTGAGACTTATGCCTGAAATGTTCTCTGTGAAATCCAGAAAAGAAATTCTGTCATGTTCAGGAGAAAATATGGCAATAATAACAGAGTGGTCAGTGATGTCATGATTTGTCCTTTAGTATTAAATAAAAAGCTGCTTTCCTTCTTTACTTCACAGTAAGTAAGCTTTGTAGTGCATGCTGTCCTCTGAATTATTTGCTCCCTGAGCTAGAATTATCTCATGGCAATCAAATGATAATGATTGCTTAGTCAGCTGTTTCCTACCAACGAGCAGATGATTCCCTAGCAGAAAACTAAGTAGTTGGAGTATATTAACTCTTCCAGACTAATACAGTGATTTTAAAGCTTAGGCAGCAGCTTGTAAATCAGCTTTGCAGGCTCAGGGGTCTGGAGACCGAAGGGACTGAGGAAATGTAGAAGTCCCCAGCAGGTCTGAGAGTTGCAGACTAATCTGGCAAATTCCTCTAAAGACGCCAGGTGTGTTCTCAGGGAAGGCTCACAGTGAAATGCTGCATTTGCAGATGATGCACACTTCAGCTGAATTTGCAACCACTCAGGGCTAGTGTCTAGTTCATCATTGCTCGATCAGGATGAATGTTAGCTGTCAAGTTTATTCAGGTTAAAAAAACGAAAGCGCCACGATTTAATTCTGCAGTTCTGTCAGTAAATGCATAAACTCTTGTTTCTGCTACCAAATAAAAAGGAAGTTAAAATCTGTGTCCATTTTTTTCCTTGGAACAAGGGAAAGGAGAGTTGATGTGTGTGTGTGTGTGTGTGTTGTTTTGTTTTTTAATCACATGCCACACTGGCTATCTCCACAGGAATGTTCTACATGTAGGTGGTCTCACATTGTGTTAAAATATGATCAAAACCACATTCAGAATTCCATTCTCTTCACCTAACCAGCTCTGCAGTCACCCAGCACATACCTGCACTAGAACTTGTCATTCCACCCATAACTGTTTGTCCTCTGAGGCTTTAAAGATGGACCATCTATCTCTGGCCAGAGCCTTCTACCTGCCTAGCTTTCTCATTTATTCCCACAACACTTATTTTTCAGCGTCACAGGGAGCCTAGTTCCCCAGCTGACTATATTTATTAGCTTTTTTCTACCTCTATGTCCTCCTCCACCTGATGCTCCTTAGGTTGCCGCCATCCTCAAGACCTAAGTACCTCCCAAAGGCCCCTCCCCTAATGCCATCAACTTTGGGGATTAGTATTTAACATGAATTGGTGGGGTCAAGGACACAGACATTCAGACCATAGTGGGAAGTAACCCTGAACAGTGGTTTTCCTTTCTAGAAGAGTTCTAGCTATGTATTTGGCTCCAGTGGAGGACGCTGGACAGCACTCACAATTGAGGTGCAAGTGAACACTGCGCACGGGGGGCTCAGACTTGGTGAAGCAGCCTGGAGCCCACAGATAGGAGTGGACCAGGACACCTGGCTTTCTTTAGGACAATTCCCTTTGTTTCAAAAATGTTTTTAGAATAAATGTTTCCATCTTTCTCCACTAACTATTGGGCGTGGATAACTTTTTAAAACTTATTAGGGTTTTATTCATTTTACAGTCTTATTTCTTGGCATTTTAATAAATGGATATGGATTATAACGGACAGGAGTACAATTTTACGCGTAAGCAATTAGTTTTATTGACAAAATGCCTATCACTTTCTAGAAACCACCACTATGACCTTTGATCACTCGATTAATGACTATGTGCCTGGAACTTCCTAAGCCCATTTCATCCACCCACTTATTTTATTCTAACAACAATACAATGCATAGGTCTGTTTCTACTACCATCCCCATTTTATAAATGAAGAAAGTGGAGCTCAGAGAGGCTGAGTGACTTACTGGAGGTCACATAGCTAGTTTGCCTCACAATTCATGCAGGTGCTCCTTAGATTTTTTTTGGTGGTTGCTGTGAAAGAGAGTCATGTTTCGAATTATATAGGTACGTGGAGATAACATCCTGACTTTGCTGTTTAAGAGGCTGAAATCCAAGCAGGAGAAATGTCATGTTATACGCCCTTGAAGGATGTTCAGTGACTAATGAAACAGTCCTCTGAGTGCAATGGTGTAACTGAAGCGTTCTTTGAAGGCAAGCAATGGAACAAATGAGTAAATTTCTGGTTTCTTTCAGCAACGGAACTTTTCTTTCCATGACATATTCATTTATAGATCCCCCAATTTAAAAAAAAAAAAAAAAAAAAAAAAAAAAAAAAAAAAGCAAATAAAAGATGATAAATTTGACTCAGCATTTAGTTGATTGTACATCATTATCCACAGAACTAGGTATACACCTCTGCAGAGCCCAGGGATCACCGAGGCACAATTTGAAAAACACTAGGCTAGACAAGCTCTGTGTCATGAAGACTTTCACTGCCCTCTGAGTGTTAAGTGCTTCCCCAAACTTCCCTGTGCCTTGACAGTTACTCAGGATCTTGGGACCAGTTTGAAGAATGGGCTGTAGGTAGAAATGATGTGTCAATTCCGAACACAGGCATAGGGATGTACACTGTATTTTCCTCTCCCCCTGACATTGTGACGGAAGTTCTGCAGCCACAAAAAAAACAGAGCATTTGTCTGCCTGAGTCCATGGGCATTAGAGAGGAGAAGAGTCCTTTCCCACAGTGCATTGCTCATGGTTTGCTGCCACAGCAGAAACAAGGCAACCTGCACAGTCTCAGAAATGAAGTTCTCTTCTTTTTATGCATTTGGTCCTCTTTTCTCTGATCAGATTTTATTCACAGGAATACCTGCTTTTGGGACACTCCATGCCCGCTCAAGAGGGTGACTGGATTATACTAAAATGACTGATAGCCAATATGCATTAACCTTTTTTAAAGTCATAACATTGCAGTTAAAATTCTACTTTTGCTGTTGTACTGTGGTTTCTGCACCTTGCCCAGTATGGCTAGCAACACCGGATGGAGCCTGTGCTCCCTTCTGCCTGGATGTCCTTGGTCTCCATCTCCGTCAGACTTAGATCTCCAAGGTCCAGCTGTCTGATTCTTGGCCAGCTTTGCGGGAGCTCTTTCTAGTTATGGAGAGCCTCTCTTTGCTCCCCACTTCTCTAAGGCTCACGTGGTGTCCCTGAAACTCAATTCTTCTTGTTCTTTAAGATTTGGCCTCAAAGTCTCATAAATAGCACAGCTTCGCAAAACTTGAAAGGCAGAAATGGCTTAAACTGAAAATGTTTCCCAGGAAGTGATGAGAAAGAGTTGCATTCCATTTTTCTAAAGCAGGAGAGGAAAGAAGCAACAGCTCAGTTAAACTGCACTATGAGAGCATTCTGACGGTTTATACATCTTGATATAGTGATGCTGATAATAATAATAAATGTTGATTGATTTTTTTTGTATTTGGCATTGTGTAAGCACTTCCCATGCTTTCCCATTCTTCTTTCAAGAACAAATAAGAAGCACACTCAATACAGAAATATTGATTTTAGTCCTTAATTCCAAGAAATGTGACAAATTGATTCATACAATAACATTCTGAAGTTTCCAGAACTCTATTGAGCACAATAGCTATGAAACCGGGGGTACTTGTTTTATAGTTTCCTGCACTGACAGAAATAGCCAATAGCATTTTACTTTTCAATTTATTTCCCTTTCAGAATAAATGGAAGCACAGTTTTCACCTAAGAAAAAAAAAGTACAAGAACATGATTTTATCTGCAACATTCAACAGAGAGCAGCCACTCTGCTGCTGAGAGAGCCCAGAAGAAAGAGGGGGACTCAGCTTGGAGAAGCAGCTCTGAGTCCTTATTGACAGCCCAGTCATACCTCATGGGTCTTCATTTCTCCTTGAACCCGAGAAGGCTGGCCTAGGCTGGTGTCGCTGTCAGACCCTCTACATGCCTCATGTCCTCTGTTGTACGCACATGGTCATGACATAAATATTGCATTAATAGTCACCCATTAAAGCAGAATTTGTGGGGTAAATAAGCCACAGCTATTGGCCTTTCTGCACCTTTTTTAATGAAGAGGATGGGAGGAAAGGCAGCTTGGAGAAGTGGAAAGAACATTGAATTTAGAAAACCTCTCCATCCTAAATCTGCTTCATGCATTTACTAGCTGGTTTACACTCCTCCTCTTGCAACCACAGTTTCCTAGTCTATAATTCCAATTGGAAAATTCCAATAATTGCCTCAGCCTA